TCCATAAATTTCTGTTACTATTTTATAAACCATTGATAAATATATTTAATTCTTTGTTTTAATTTCTTAACTCGACCATTAAAATTAAATCATTAGTTAATAGTTTAAATCCTGTGACCCTAAAATCTTAAGTCCTTTAATTAGTTTTTAGTATTCAATTTTAATATTTCTTTTACTCTTCATCTATTATCCTCTTCAATTCGTAAACTAAAGTAACTGTTTACAAGTTGCTAATTGTAAATTGCCTTTTGGAAAATAAAATTAGTCCAAAAGGTCAACTAGTAACAATGTGAAATGCGGTCACTAATAAAGTTGTACACATCTCGGATCATCTACTTCTTCGCAGCTGGTTCATACTTCACAACAAGTAACGACTGGATTTGTGATGTTGAAATGCCTACTTTTTTTACAAGAAGGATTTCTTCCTTAATATCTGCTGGTATTTCACGGTTCAAAACGCGCATAAGTCGAACTGGAATTAGTGGATGATTATGGTTAAAAACAGCTTGTGAAATATAATATTTATTATCATTTCAGTTAAGAGCATAAGTCGAACTGGAATTAGTGGATGATTATGGTTAAGAACAGCTTGTGAAATATAATATTTATCATCATTTCGGTTAAGATTAAGACAAATAGACTGTGGGCAATTGCATTTTTTAGATTCTGCGTTTCACCTCTTTTTATTGGGATCCTTAGGCTTAGGTTTAAATTCACCGTATCGATCACATGCAAAAACTTGAGTGTAATGAACACCATCACTACGATTATTGCTTTTATAGAGAATCACCTTAAACCCGTTTGTTATAGCATATTGATCAGCAACGTATTTGAAGGCTTCAAGAGATGAGTAAGCATGACCAAGCTGAAAAAGTGGGTCTTTGGGTTCTGTAGAATTTTCAGGTTCCAATAAATTTTCGGGTTCCGATGAGTTTTTAGGCTCCAATAAATCATCAGGTTCTAACAAGTCTTCAGGATTTTTGGGTTCCAACAAGTCTTCAGAATTTTTGGGCTCCAATTGGTCTTCAGGTTCCAAAGAGTCTCCAGGTTTTTTATCAAATTCACAGTCTTTATTGTAGGTGATATTTTGACTTGAAGAAACTTTAAAATATTAAAAAATATTTAACCCATGTATTTATCAGAGAATCACATACAAATCGTCAATTATATTAAACTTACAATTGATCGTTATTGTTTTTGTGGCGTAATATTAGTCATTATTAAATCAACATTTTAATTACCAACGAAAGATAACGAAAGGTGTTAGGTTTTTTAATTTCCTTTGTCGAACGAATTCTAATGGGATGTCACTCTTTAAAAATATTAAATTTATTGACTGGGAGGTGTTTTGTGAGGGACTGGCTCACCAAGAACCAAACAGAACGCAATTTGAATAAAAAAAAAACAAACTTGAAACTTTTAAAAAGAAACAAACACCCATGAGAATTTTTTTTTGTTTTGCACTATTTATGGAAAGATTTTGTTTATGCGTTATCGCAATTGAGTCCACCAAAATCATGTGATCACATGTAAGGTTAGGAATGACAGAATAGGGTCATGTGTATAACAACGTGATAAAAATACATTTTTATTGGCTAAAATACCAGAGATATATAAAAAATATATATCTGGCCAGAGATGCCTATAATTACCCATGATTGAAATACGAATTTTTCATTTACAAATACTCACAAATTGTTTTACAGTTCCATTTCACATCCAGAACTTTGAGACGTAAATTGCCTTTGAGTGATTAATTGAGACTGTTCAGAAGATGTGAAAGTACTTGAATATTTGTTTTGCTAAGCTGGCCTATTAACTGATTGAAATACGAATTTTTTTGCGGTTCCATTTTACATCCAGAACTTTGAGACGCAATTTTTAATACATTGATCAAAGTAAACTGCCTTTGAGCGACTAATTAAACTGTTCAGAAGGTATGAAAGTACTAGAATATTTGTTTTTAATAAGCTGGCTTATAAACAGATTGAAACAAGAATTTTTCTTTAATTATAAATATTACGAATTTTTTTACAGTAGAATTAGTTTAATAAATACAGTAAAATAATATGATATATGAATAAATTAAAAATAAATAAGTTTCAATATTTTATAATTGTTTTGAATTAGAAACCTGTTTTTTATTTTATTTTCATTTGAATATACAAATTCTGCTTACTTAAGTTATTATTTTAATATTCTCCCGTATTTGTTAAACTCATTGCGGTTACGCAAACAATAAATGTCATAACGTAACTACAACTATAACGTAACTACAACTGATCTCAGCACAAAATGCAAAATTAGACACAGAAACCCTCTAACATAGTAACAAATCAAAAACGTGAAGGCAAAAAGATAGACTCATATATAAATAAGATAAAAAAAAATAATAATAATATTAAAGAAAAAGAAGAAAAAATAAATAAAAAAAATACCCGTGCCGGAGGCACGGCCCTACGCTAATAGTATATAAATAAGTAATTAATATAATAAATAAAATCGTTATTTTGCTTTGATAAAAAATTAAATATCCTTTCATTTTATCCGGATAAATCTGTATCTGGAGTATCCATTAAACCGAATTTATCCGGATTTTTCATCCGCATCCGTTCTAGAGTCCGCGGATAATCCATTAGCAGATAAACAGATATCCGGATCTGACCACTATTGTAAATTCTATTATCTAACAATACATTTATTATCTATTGATATAACGGATATTAATTAAATAATAAATACTTTGGATTGAAACCGGCTCCCAACAAGCAAACCGATATTCAATTCAGGCGAAGAATAATCAAGAATTCAAACGTGATATCCGGCCCGAAATTTTTTAGTCTTCTGATACGTATGTAAATTTCATTATCAGTTATTGTAAATTAGAAAACTCATTATTTCGCTATACGAACTTCGGGGTTTTTAACAACAATTATTATAATAAAGCTCTTTTCTTGTCAAATTCATTTTGAGAACAGTTTTTATCAACTCCTCATATATAGTTATTTTCATCTTTCTCATGAGTTCAATAGAAAGAAGAAGAGTATCTGCTAATTACATCAATAACTCATTTTTTCTAATTATTTCTTTCATATCGATATCGTATTTTCCTTTTGCTCAGGCCCAAGATTCTGGCTACGATGTCTGGCCTGATATCTATGACTTCCTCTTTTATAACATTCTTCCTTTGATCATTTTGCTAGTATATGGTCCTGAAAAGAAACCTTGGTTTGGTAAAATCATTTATTATATAGATGATTTAATCATTTTATTCTGCCTTTGTGCTCTCCCACTGATTATTATTAAGACAAGTGTACCAGAAATGGATACGAAAGTTCTCATTGGCATGTTCAGTTTCGTTTTATGCATAACAATAATCAATTGGATCCGTATTATCATTTTAAATTTTGATAAGGATTACGAGGATAATGCTGATGATAAGGATCACGAGGATAATGCTGATGATAAGGATTACGAGGATAATGCTGATGATAAGGATTACGAGGATAATGCTGATTATAAGGATGGGTTTGAATCTAATATTTATATTGGTTTTGGTATTGTTACTTGGTATGACATCACTTGGTGGATAGCGTTTGGAAAAATTTATATAGAACATCATACTTTGGTGCTTATTTTGATGATATTCTTAACTGTCGTTCCACTTCTTCCTTTCGCTTTCACTGTTGGTAGTAAAGAACAATCTGATTCCAAACTTTATCTTCGCATTACTCAAATAGTGGGTCTTCTTAACTTTGCATTTTTGATTATTTACCAAAGTCTTTGGTTCAATATTTGTTTTCCTACGTCACCAGCGGTCACAAAATCTATATTTGGAATCACTCTACTTTCAGTTGGCAGGATTTTATATTATATGGCAAATGAGGATTCTGGGGATCATGGTTTTTTCAACGGTTTCAAAAAAGGTTTCTTAAAAAAATAACGTGTTGGGTATGTTGAGAAAGTTGAAGAAAGTAAAATTGTTGTTGAAGGTGAGAACGTTGGGAGCGATAAAGAACCTATAGAAAATATAGTTCAAATTTATGTTCAGGGTAGAAATTATTTCATTAAGCATCGATTAAGTTTTAACTACCTCTTCTTCTTCTTCCTCCCCCAAGGCAAAAAGTTTGAATAAAAAAGTAAAGAATTCTTCAGTAGGAAAATTATTCAAGTAATAATTTGACAAGATTAAAAAATTTATTAAAATATAAACATTCATTTCATTTACAACTCGAACTCGTCTCTTAATTTTTAAATCATTTATTTATACCAATACGATCACGTTTCATGTGTAACATGAAATGTGCGGGGGATGAAATCATTTTTTGGCAGGAGTTATGATTTTCGATTTTTATTATTAATTTTGTGAACTCCTTTTTGGTAGAAGTTATGATTTTCATTTTGTTTAAATGCGAGACCATAACCATAGTGCCACGTCGCTGCATCAAGCTTAAAAGTTATGAGATGCACTTTGTGGTATAATCAATTTGTTCCTTTGACAATCTCCATTTATTGTGTAACTTTATAATTTAAATGTTTTTGATTGGTTTAATGTTTTCAATTGAAGTAATTATCATGGAATATTTGTTTTGTATTGTTTTGTAAACCTGTATTTATTTTGCATTTGATGATACCATGATTATGCAATTGATATAATGACCCAAGATTTATGAGAAAAAATTAATGTAAATGTTTAATAAAAAAAATAATACTTACATCCTTTAATAAAAAAATAATAATACATCCCTTATGTCCATTTTGATGATTTTGTCAATACTCACAATTACAATTTAACAAAAGAGAGAAAGAAGAAAAAGGTAAGTAAATTTGGTTTTAAATTTTTTTTTTTAATAAAAAATATAATAACAATAAATACTTATCTTATGTCCTTACATCCATTTCACTGATTTCATCAATTTTGTGAATGCAATTGGTAAACACATGAATTATCATAGGGAATGATAATTTGTAATACTAGGATATATGATTAACTGAGATGATAATTTGTATAGTCATTCAAAAGATATTTATAAGGATAAAGAATAATGTATAAAAGATGAAAGATGAAACACAAAGGATAATGGGTAAATGTGAATAAAAAAAAAAATATAAAAGAAAGGTTTGTTAGAGCCAAGAAACAGTAGTTTTCAGTAGTCTTTTAACAGATTTTAATTAGTTATTATACAATTCTGAATAGTTTCAAATATTAATATTATTAGATAGAAAAGTAAACTTTCTTTAGAAATGGTAAAATAGATATGCTTCCATTATAATATTTCTGTTGTTGAACAATACTTTACTTTTAAATTGTACCCTTTATATTTTAATAAACTTATCTTTTGTATTATGATATTGTAAAATATTATTAAATATTTGAGTATTAATAATTTTGATTCATCTTGCATACTGTACCTTCAGATTAAAAATAAAGAATTAAAGAATTATATTATATTTTATTATCTGTTTTGAGATAGGCAAGTTTAAATTGAACTAATGACAAATAGAGTGTATTATTGATAAAGTTTGTGTGAGACAAACTTTAGACTAATTTATGAAATTGTAATACTCTGCACAGATGTAACACTATGTATAGAATAAAGGTGAATAAATTTGTTTTAAATTTTTTTTATAAAAAAAAATAATTTGTGAAAAGAACCTATGTGCTTATGATTACAATTTCATGGAAATAAAGGAAATAAAGAAAGTACAGTCAGTCTCCTCTATAGTTACCTCCTATATAGTCACAGAATCGACATAGTCACATTTATATTTTTGCCAATAATTTTATTATTTATTTTACCTTATTGACATTGATCTCCTATATAAATCTATATTATTAAATGCAAGCTAAAATATCCCTGTCATGTTTACTGAACATCTTCTGTTAGTTTGAAGTTTCATGACCTGACATGTATTTTTTAGTGATTGATAAAAAACTGAATATTTGAATACATATTTATAATAAAAAATGATAGTTAAATTGTGATTTAGTATCTGTCGTAATGTTTATTATTTGTATTCCAACGATTGATATCACTAACGTCATTAGTTTGATGTATTTGTTATTACTTTATGTTCAATTGTTTTGAAGTGAGATTTATACAAATAAATTAAAAAAGTTTTTGAATCGTGATAAATTGGCTGGACAAAAATCGATAGCTTTTTACAGTTTGAAAAAAGTAAATAATTTTGCATTTCTTTGTAGGTTGAATTTTTGATATAACCAATTAAAAATAGTGAAGTGTACAAATCAAAGTTGAAATTTTAATACAAATAACAGAAAAAAGTGATAATTAGTTGAATGATCAAATAAATTACTATACTTTTGGATTGAATTTTTAGATATGACCAATCAAAAATGGTGAGGTATACAAGTCAAAGTCAAATTTTAATTGCAGATAGCAAAAACATCAAAAAATATCAACTATCTTTTGAGCTAAATTTTTAGATATGACTAACTAAAAATGATAAGGTGTACAAGTTAGAAGTCAAAATTTAATTATGGGTAGTAGAAAATGTCAAAAAATATCAACTATCTTTTGGGTTGAATTTTTAGATATGACCAACTAAAAATAATGAGGTGTACAAGTCGAAAAGTCAAAATTTAATTACGGGTAGTAGAAAATATTAAAACATACATACTTAGATATTTCTTACATTAACTACCATTACTGGAGTGAAAAAAACCTTATGGATGACAGAGAACCTGAAAATTGAAAATAACAAAAAGAGAATTATAATGAACCTTTAAAACAGAGACAGAGAGATCATTTACATCAATATCGTATTCACCAAAATATGCAGACAATTAACAGTACAAGAAATTTCTTTGAATTTGCTCATTTCAAAAGGTTCCAACTTTCTGCTGTAACTTTTTACAAAATGTGTGAAGCAAAAAAATTTACCAGAGAACTCTCGAGTATATACTGTGCAAATGGAAAAGTCACATTAGCAAAAGTTGATATACCTGAAAACTTGAATGATTTATTTCTTAGAAATGACAAAACCAGAATAGAATTTTGACAAAACATTTGTGCATATAATATCCTCTTTGCCTTTATATCCATGGGTGTAAAACTTGATAAAAAAATAGTACACGGGTAAGACAGAGTTTATTGTTTTCGTATTTAGGATAATATCTACCATGCAATATCTGACTTCCTTCCCAGTAATAATTCTTTGTGATTCCTTCAACTTTATATTTATGATACTGAACATGTTGATATAAACAGGTTAAAAATTATGACTTCATTATATCAAAATACGATTAGTCAAATTAGACGTATTTTAATTAATGTCAAACCTTTTCATTATAAACTTTCATTGTCTTTCTGAAATTCGTAACCTTTTACATTGCAAACTCATTATCAAAGCTAACTCAGGTCTTGACCAATGTATATACAACTCTCCAATGGCTTCGCAAGTAGCAGCTATTTGAATAGAAGGCAACAATCCAATTAATATACAGAAACGTAATATTGTAGTCCTTCCACATTCAGGAAAATTTCAAAGAATTTCTGAAGTAAGTAGTTTTTATAACCATATGCAATATCCTCATCTCTTCTCATGAGGTGAATACGGATGACATTTTGGAATATGCCAACATGACAAAAAAATAACATCAAGAAGTATTATGCATACTGACTGCAGATTCGAAATAACTTACCTTCATTGGTTCTTCTTGGAGGTCAACTTTTCCAATAATATGTTGTAGATAATTATGTTAAAATTGTAATCAGAGAAACTTAATTTTTTCCATTTTAATCAAGCTAAAATTAGAAGCAAATTGTATCAAGGTTTGCAAGATTATCTCACAACAGATAATACTGATGTATCTCATGTTGGTATATGTATTGTCTTACTATCATCTTTCGTCAGTAGTTATTGAGATATGTATCAATGTTACCAAGATGCGATGGCTTTAGTATAACATTTTGAAAAACTGGACATCTTTATAACTATGACTTGTAATCCTGAATAGATGGAAATAAAAGTGAATCTGTGTAATGAATCTACTAATTCGTTTTAGAAAATAAATATTAACAAATATTTATTAATGAAGTTTGTAAGTTATAATTAAATTATTTTACAAGACTTGCTTGTTCTTTATTAATCATATTGTTATGCGCAATCTGTCGATGTAATTAGAAGGTATAGTTTATTTACTAAGTCTTTAAGAAGTTCTACTTAAGTTTATGAGTTTATAATTTCAAG